ATATATATATATATATATATATATATAAATATATATATATATATATATATATATATATATTTCAATATTGAATGTGAGAATGTGTGAATGCAAGATTAATTCTTGCTATGAGGTTAGATGGCTAAGTTGAAGGGTAAGCCCTGAGTAGTGTGCCATATGAGTTGCTCAGAGAATTCACTGCTTATCATCTGATCCCTGCTAGGAGCAACGAGTTGAAGGTGAGACCTCGTTTACCCCCCGTTCGCACAAGGGTGTAAAATATTTCAGAGTTGCCAGTCATAGTTGGACAACAGATGTTAATGGAAAACCCAGTTTTATCCAACTTTTTGACCTATTCATTTTTATAAAGAAAATATGTATGTTGAAAAATTATTATAAAGTATTTATATTTAGAATCGTGATATCTCACCTAAAACTCTGAAGATCATTCTCAGCTTGGCGCTGGACCAGTGTCCGTGTGTACGGTGAGGTCGACCTTCCAAAGCCGGAATACCCTTACTCTTTGCTTTGTGTTTACAAAGCGATAATAGGCACCTTGGTTCTGTAGGACTATGCGGGTCATCCGGGCTATCAGGCACGGAAACGCAGCAATTCCATTTCTTTCTCATCTTCCTCTGTTGAGCCACTTTTATTTCAGGAGCCACAGAGTTGCTACTCATGACACACATTTGGCAGTCTTGGGGAGTACTGGGTGGGGTTGGGGTTGGTTCTGCGTTGCAGTTACTGAACGTTTCTTCTAATACAGTGCATGTGAACAAGGTGGTGCGGGTTCTTTCTTCTCCGCAACGTAAATTTATTGGTCGATGCCTCAGACTTTGCTTGCTACTGGCTAGTTGCTGCTCTTCTTGATGTGAGGTTAGCGCAGGTACTTGGTTCTGTCTCTGGTTTCTGATATATTCATAAGTAGTCAGACCCAAGAATGAAATGTAGATATGAAAGAAACACAGATGCAATAGAAGACCTGCTGTAATGGCCGCTAGGAGGCCGAGAGCTGCTACTACTGCCAAAAAAGCAGCATCACTAGTTGGTAGAGATGATGGAGGCAATGAAGTCGAAGAATTAAATTCAGACAACAGAGGTTCCTGAAGAAGAAATAATTGGTATATCAAAATAAAGAAAATTGCATACTATTCAAATTACATTAGCAACACAGGCCAACAATCTAAAAACTTTTTTCGATAATTTTATTTGATTCCTGCGTAATTTGGTGTCGTGTTTACGAAAAAAATTAAAAAAATGTTTCACCCATCAATTTTTCATATTTCACTATTAAGTAAAATGAAGTTCAAAAATAAAGTTTATGTGCCAATGTATAAGATACATTTTTAACTAATTAAATATTTCGAAGTTGGCAACATTATTTTAATTTAACGGGATTGGCAATAAAATAAAATGTTCTATGGTCGGTATTTCTAATAAATTTTACCGCTGTTTAGTTTTTTTCACTAAGTACCTATAATCTAAATTGGTGTTAATATATACTCTAATTGCTATGTGCTTTTTATTAATAAATTGAAATGGGAAAACGTGATTGTAGGAATTCTCAACGCAGTAATCAGGACAAGTGTTGGTATGTTTGTGTCGAGGATCTAAAGAAATTGTAAAAAAAAGGATTTTTAATTTGCAATATCCATGATATGGAGAGAGCAATAAAATCATTTAAATGATTGTTATTTTTGCCATATAGATGTTAATGGATATAACTCTAAAAATAAAAAAGATATTGTATTTCATCAGTTCGGACTCTCATTGTCTAATATAATATAAATTGATTTGAAATCCCTGAAAAAAAAAAATAAAAAGATTAACCGAAAATTATTTTCATTGCGTTGCTAGCATGACATACTGCTAGCAACGCAACTTTGAGTAGTGAGTTGCGGAGCACCTAATTTTTTACTTCGGTACCTTAAAAGCACCTAAAAAGTACCTAATTTTGGCATTTTCTAAATGCGATTTCCGTACTTTGCGTTGCTGACGTAACAGAGCTTATTTTTTACTGTTAGACAGGTGTTGGACCGCGGGGCCCCTAAAGTAGTGGGGCCCGTAGCATTTGCTACTCTTGCTACGTGGCTAATTCGGCACTGTATATCGCTTTCCACGTTCGGATTGTGTTAGAAAAGTACTTTTGACAAATAAAAATACAAAATAGGAGATAGCGGTTCAAAAGTTGTTCCAAAACAAACGTTTAAAACTGATNTATCGCTTTCCACGTTCGGATTGTGTTAGAAAAGTACTTTTGACAAATAAAAATACAAAATAGGAGATAGCGGTTCAAAAGTTGTTCCAAAACAAACGTTTAAAACTGATCTTGTCAACTGAATCCATTTTCAATGAACACACAATAGATTGTGGGGATATTTCAAAACTGAACTTTAGTAATAACTTGAGAAATATCTTTTTTGATGATCCCTATATTTTCTTTCACAATCGATTCAATCGTGAAATGCAGTTAAAAACTGAAGCGAACAAACTTTTCAATTCAAACTCCCGAAAGGGTTGATTGATTTGCCTTCAAATCTGAAATGTCTTTTTCACAGTTTTTCCTGGAAACGTTAAATATTGAAAATAATATTTTTTTGAGACTAATTGTGTTATAAATGTTTATCGCTGAGTATTCACCTGTTCATATTCATATTTTTGAAAACAGTTTCTCAAGAAGAAATCACACCTTGTATAAAATTCTAATATCGTTATTCTATAATTTACTGATTCATATCGATATTCATTAATTCTTTTTCGTAATTTTCAATGATTCTGGAATTTTCAATCCAGCATTCTGCTCAAGGTCATTTCAAAGAGTGATATTTGAATAATGTTTCAATTTGTTAACGGGCTGGAATATTCCGAAATTACTAAGGGAATGTACATGAAGAGCATATTTACCTACTGGGTGAATGTACGATAGAACATAGAAAGCCAAGAAAAAATAAAAACAAATGAGAAATTCAAATTTTGAAAAATCTGAACCATGAACATTAGCAATATACAAATATTAAATATCCATCTGGGCGATAGAATAAAATAATTGCAGAAAAAGTAAAATTTCCTCCGTTTGGTATGCTCAAATCATAAGTTATTGAAAAAAGGTGAATGTTCAATTTTCGCAGGCTAAGAACATTCGAATAGCGTTTTTTTCATTTTTGTATGTTGGTTACACTCGTCTCGAACATGTTTTCAGTTTCAGCTGTTGAGCATATTTAGTTTCTTGGTGAGAGGCATAAAAGTTAGAAATGGTTTGCGTGTTCGGCGATTTTCTGCTATTGAAAAAATGGATCAGATAATTTGCATGAAATGTTGTGTAAAAAATGGAATTAAGTGCCCCAAAAAAACACTTAAAATGTTGACAGTGCCATACGGTCATTGTACTTTGAGTCAGGAAAATGTTAACAAGTGGTATAGTCGAAGTAACTGATATAGTAATTCTTAAAGCTATCGGCGAACTCAAAGGCCAAAAAAACCAATACAAAGAAATAATGCCACTGTATGGAGATTGGAAATTTCCATTTTAATGGTGGAAATAAATTCATTATTGATTTAAATGACGACAGTGATAGTGAAACAGAGAATATGAAAGAGGAATTATCAGAAGTTTTCGACGAAAGTTAGTGAAGTGTCTTTTTCAACTAAAATTACTTTTTTAATCCTTTTCTGTCAGTCTTCTTCGGTAATATTAGATATTTCTTCAACTAGCTCTATTACCTTTTTATCAAATTTTGGAAAATTATTTTTACGCCTGATGCTGTGTTTCAATTTTATCCAAATCAACTCGATGGGATTGAAAACACAAAAATGCGGAGGACGTCTCAGTATGGTGTGTCCATACTTTTCAGCAATACTTATTATTGGAATCACTACACAGGAGAAAGTCTGCGTTGTTATCACACTCGTTATTACTATTAGTACTTGTCCAAGAACACCACATTTTAAACAGACAACAAAAATTAATTATAACAAAAAGTAATTATTACTGCACCAATATCGANAAGTCTTGAGATACTCGTAAACTAATACATAAAATCATTTAGTCAAGTAGCATCCACTATCTAGGGAACGGAGTGTTTGGCACTCAGTACATTTCCTAGCTCGTCAGCGCACCAAGTAGCGTTCACATTGTAGGAAACGTAAAAATGCGCCCCGTTGCGGACCGAATCAGGTTTTCAGAGATTGGCAGAGTCGCACTCTTATCATCTGACTCAAAAGATTACTTACCATATAAACTAATCGGCTTCGTTAAGATGCTGGGTTTATTTGGTCGAGTGTGAATAGGTGTGAACCATAATAAACCCTTGCGAGTTGCGGTGGAGGGTCGAATAGACCCACTCACTTTTGATCTAACCTAACCATAGCTACCTTAAATTTCAGTAAGACTCATTCAAATAGTTTCTCAAAAGAAGAGCTTGTGATATTTTGTGATTGAGCATAATTGAATTTAGAAGTTCAATTTAGGTGTTACGAAACCAACAACTCGTCTAAACAACTACCTATAAAATGTTGAAAATCCCTGTTCTTGCATCTACCATTACCTACGTTAAACCACCTTGTTACAGAGAAATCTTTCAGTTCAAAGTAGTGAGGATTCGGCTCAGTGATATCCTCTGGTCCTGGGTAAATTATTGCCCTCATGTCGAATTCTCACTACGACGAATTCTCCTTACGTAGAATTCCCGCTACGTCGAATTATCATTACGTCGAAATGTCGATTTTTCTAATCTATTTGAGATTCGCACACTCTCATGTTACCGTGACGTCAACGATGGGAATGCAATTCCCTGTAACGACAATTAGACGTAGCGGGTATTCGATGTAGTGACTGACGAGCACTCGGTCATAACATCAACAGTTCAACACGGAAGTGCTAGACTATCTACGAATATTGATGACGTGTATGTATGCATAAATAGAAATATATAAATAGAAGATTTCAAATGACGTAATAACCTCTATTCGAAACGGCAAGTTGTTATCGATTTTCCTTCAACTTTGTAATGTAGACAGTAGCTTTGAGTTTCCAACGACGGTAGTCTACGGAAGTCATTGAATATGACATGATTATATGGTTCACTAACTTTTATTTTCAAGTAGGTAGTTAGTCCAGATATGCCAAAAGTCCTACTAATAGTAAATTCTAGGAATTTGTAGATTCATATTCAGATAGAAAACTTGTAAGATACAAGTTTTTTTTGCCAGCGTGATATTGATCGATAAATTTATTTAGACGAGGAAATACAGATCTGTGCTACAACGCAAATATATTTTTGAAAAGTATGCTATTTCCTAGTGAAGCTACTTTTTCAAATGTTAAACGGCGAAATTTCAATTGGGCTGACTGGGATGACTGAGACTTAGTCATCTCCTGATGATGTTCACTTGATTAGCTAAACGCGCGTCGGGAGGCAGTAATTTAGTTCCGGTGTGTGAAAAGTGTTTTTAATAGAACCTAAAAACGTTATTCAGTATATATTATTTTCAATTAATTATCATTTAAGTGATCACAATTATTTCAAATTATTGTCGTAAAACTCAGAAGAGACCAAAAAATAAATAGCTTCTTTTAGTTTAGGTTAGGTTAGGTTAGGTTAGGAACGGCTGTGCCGAACTCTAGAAACCTGATTCGGTCCCTAGCGAGGCAGACACAAAGTGTGTGCTCTGCTGTTTCATTATTTCCAAAACAGAGGCGACACACATTATCTTTCGACAGTCCGAGACTCTGCATATGATGATTCAAATGACAATGACCTGTAAGAAGGCCGGTTAGACATTGTAATTCATCCCTACAACAACTGTTTGGTATCAAGCTTCGAAGGGTGAATAAACGTCTTGGAGTGAGCCAATCCTGGAAGATTATGCCAAAAGTCTATAAATCTTCTTGCCATCCAAGTGTTCAATCTTTGGTTGGCAAGCCTGAAGCGATGTCAATCACAGGTTCTGGTCCGATGAAGCTGTTTGCAGCACCCTCCTTTCCAAGGGAGTCAGCAGCCCCATTGCCTTCCAGGCCAATTTAGACGTTGCTCGGTAGGAGCCAAGAGACTTGTGTATGAGGTTGGATTCTTCCAATCTCTCCGCACACAATTCAATAGCGTAAATTTCCGCTTGACAGACAGGTTGATATCTCTGTCCTGAGTCTGCGACTGAAATCACCTGCACAAGAACCGGAACGTGTTTTGATCCATCTGTGTACCAACAACTTTCTGCTCTTAATATTTTTAGTACTTTATAAAGCAGTTCGTAGTTGACAGTTGGAGGCATAAAGTCAAAGGTTATTTCCAGAATGCTGAAACTTCCAGTATCAACCATCAGTCTGTTGCACTCTGCAATGAATTGATTTGTGCAATTGGCAATGTGCACAAGTCCATATGCAGTCCATCTAGCCTCTCCCCAGAGAAATGTGGAGAGGAGATAAACCTAGAAGGATCTCCATGGCCGCTGACGGTGTGGTACTGATGGCACCACTAATGGCCAGACAAGCCTGTCTCTGTAAGCCAGAGAGCTTCCCCTGGACCGTTTATTGTAAGGCCTTCGGCCACCAGGCAATTACAGCATAAGTGATCATTGGTCTGACAATCATCACATAAATCCAATGGATTTGTTTAGGACCTAAACCCCAAATTTTACCACAAATCCTTCGACATGTCCATAGCGATAGTCTGGCTTTGTGTAAAACATTCTCCAAGTGGGCGTTCCAGGTGAGTTTTTTATCAAGGACAATTCCAAGATATTTCACCTCCGTTCCAAATGGAATGACCTCACCGTTAGTGGCGTTAGATTGTCCAGATTTCCCCTCCTGGTAAAGGGGATTATCACAGTTTTGCTGGGGTTGGCAGACATCTGCTTCCTCAGGCCCCAACTGTCGAGGGCATCAAGCAGACCATCTATCAGGACCGACCACAGAAGGGGAGATAGTACCCCACATTGAGGGCAGGCTCTGGTGACCCTGAACCTAATGGCCCCGCCTTGAAGAGTTGTGGTTGCAGTTCTGTTCTTTTAGTTTAACCCAAATTTCTAAACAAAATATGTGATGTTTTATAACTTTGATTTATTCAATTTGTGCCGGACAGATAAATGAACTTTTTTGAATACTTATGTCTTTTAAAATGAGATTGAGCTTTCATTGACCAATATTTTCAAGGTAACCTGGGTCATAACAAGAAAAGAACCAACCAGACCCATCAGCCATCCTCGCTGTCCAGAAACAACCAAGTGGTGCCTAACAACTCCAGCGTGCAGACTAACCAAGATTCCATCCAAACTGTGAACAACTTGGTTCCTGTTTCCTGTTACCCCGAGGTGCCTCAAAGAGCGAACATGCTACCAGCTCTGCCCGCTCCACCGCGCCGACGCCTCATCAGTGAGATGGAACTGGCGAACGCTCTTTCGGTGTTACAGCAACAACAACGATGTGCTTCTAGGAGGCCCCTATACCGCAGAAGAAGAAGAAGTGTCGTGCATCGACCTAAAACTCCGGCCCTCTCGCCAATTAGAGAAAGCGGCCTCTCGAATCCAGCCTCTCCGTCCCGACAGAACTGCACCGTGTCCGCTGTTAGCGGAACCGGCATTCGTCCAATATGAACCGAACCATTATTGAGTCTTGAATATAACCATCCGTAACTGATTTCCATTAAAAACTGCGGAAAACGAAATGATACAAGTGATGCGTCTCAAGATCTGCACTTAAATCAAAAATGGGTCTTTTTGAATGTAATAAAAAAATGATTTTATTTCATTTACTTTTTTTCATTAGGTATAATATCGGATGATTAGCTTAACGAAACAAGTAATATTGGATAATTCTCAAAATGTGGAACTGATTTAGTATACGTGGCAATGATATGTAAACGGGTGTATCGTTCATCCAAAAAGAATGTCTGGGACGATAAGGAATGGGAAATATCTAGGTTTCATAATTCAGACTTGTGGAAAACATTGATTACTGCAATAACGAAAAATAGTCACAAATATACAAATTTGATTATTTGTTGATAAGAATCTAATAGACAGTTTTTCAAAATGACTAAAGGTTCAAATATTCTAAATATCAGAGTTTCCTCGTTTACCTTGGGTGAAAACGAAAAACTCATTAGGCTCATTGAATACCTTTCCATCGATTGATGTATAATGAAGTTTCCATACATTTGCAGAAACCCAAAACTGCTTTATAGCTATCCACACAACATCAATTAACCCTATCATTCTTTGGCGATAGTAGGCAAAGAGCAAATACAAAATCACACATGATTGACCATCAGAAATGCATCCCATTCAACTATCGGTATAGTAAGTAGGTATCATCTTCCGAATGACGCATTATTTTCGCCAAAAATTCTTCTATACCAAAAATTTTAGGGGGATTAAAAAAACTAAAGTAACATTTTATAGAACATTATTATTTGACATTTTCTCTGCGGTTCACAATAGAAATTTGGGAGGATTAAAAAAAACAAAAGAAACATTTCATATAACTATATTATTTGACATTTTCTTTGTTTTCCATGAGTTTTGTAACAATGATCCTATCGAATATACATCAATTCGTTGATGCATATTCACTAAACGGGTGTTGACTCTTAACTTGCATAGTTCTCCGTTAACCAGCTGTCGCACCCCTACGAACGACAACCCTCAGAAGTCGAAACTTGTGCGAGCTGAGGATTAACGAGGTCTTACCTTTTAACGTCCTATCTTCCTATACGAGTAGGACGATAGCAAGTGAAGATCGATCGTTCAGACTAGGGCTTGAATCACCGACCAACACGACAGTCAATTCGAGTGAGTGAACAAAGCACCCACGCCGAACCGCTTGGCTACCGACCGACCACAGAGATAATAACATTAATATATTAGGATTTTATAACTCTCACTATCAAGAGCGTACATACCTACTGATTTTTTAACTATATGTTCTATATTGCTCGTATCAATATTATCAAAATATTTATTTAGTGAATGTGGAGACTAGGTCAAATTTCCATACTAACCATGGCCTTCAATAATATTTTATTAATGATTATTGATTTACTTGTTTGAAACTACAATAGCACTCCTACTACCGGAAAAATTGCAAGATTATATCACGAATTTCACATTGTGTAACTTATTTCGCATTTGTAATAAAATATTTACAATTGACTTGCCTTCTCAGTTTATAATTGAATGTAAGTCATGGTAAGAAATACAGCTGACAAACTATCTATATTGTGTTAAATGAAGGTGGTGAAGTATCAAAATTCATATTTATGTAACCGGGGATAGAAAATATAGCTTCAATATTTTTCAAACAATAAAGTTATCGGTTCTACAAATTTTCCCTATCTTTATTTTTATCATTATACCACACTTACCCGTATTTTATATGGGAGGCAAAATTCGAAAAAACATAAGATAATGTATTAGGTTGTTTCGAAAGTTTTATCCGTTTTCACGAGTCTACTTTAAACTGTTTCATCTCAGTGAATACTTATTCAATGTAATCTAAATAAGAGCCATTTAAGTCATTACACTTTTGCCACCGTAACACAAGTCGAACACTTCCGTCAGCATGAAAATTGTGTGCTCGGGATTCGATGAAGTTGATGAAGGTCGTTGATCATGATTGGCGAAGGTTCTACCGGTGAGAAATTTATCGAAGTGTTTGGGAAAATGGTGGTCGGTTGGCGTTCAGTCTGCGGAGTATGGTGGGTAAGGCAGAACTTCGACGCTCAATTTGTTCAATTTTATAGGACGGTAATTTGTGAAACGTGCGGACGGGCGCTGTCGTAGAGCAGGATCGGATCTTTTCTGTTGGCCAGTGCTGGCTGCTGCTGACGCAATTTTCAGTTCATTTCGTCGATTTCTTCACAATAAGACTCTGCTGTGATGGTTTGGTCCGGTTGCAGAAAATTATAATAAAGCACACATCAGTGTTCAACCACTGTCCTGAACGTCTCCTGTTGTTGTAGAGCAGGAGTCGGCAAGTAGTTTTGGGTGGTGTCCGGATACTGTGGGAAAATTTTAACGAGGTCCAGAAAAAACAACGGATAATAATTAGGTGCTACCTATGTATTATTATGGTTTCAAATCAAATCCTGAATTATCAAACACAAGACCTAAAATTAATGTGAGAAACTACACCGAGCCAGTTTTTTATAGGAACAGCAAATTCAAGAGTGTCTTCTAGGTAGGCGTCCGTTAATCTCGAACGATTTAAAAAAATGCATTTTTGAGAAATATGTTTCACATACGTCTGTTGAGCCAAACATAGTGGCCAAATTTATAGCTAGTTTCTTGCAATTTTCATGTTTGGCCCAAAATTCTTCAGTGGATACCGTTTTATACATTTGTAAAGACACATGTTTTTGCAAAGACTGCAGTAACGTTAGTTACAAATAAAAGTGGTAAAAATATAGAAATTTTCCATTCTCTTTTCTTCATTATGATTTCCTACCACTTAGTAACGGCTACATTCATCAATTTATTGTATAGTATAGTTTTTGTACGTATTAATTTATACTTGGTATACAACATATTACAATATCTGGAGGTCCGAGGTTCGACCTTTGCCTGTTGCTGACCGTTGTTGTAGAGAATCCACTTTTGATCACACTTGTCGATCCGATCCAAAAAAGATCGTTTTGGTTGCGCAAAAGCCAAGATGAACAGACTTCGAAACGTGACAATTTCTATAGATCGTTCAAATCGTGGGGCAACCATTTTGACCTTTCTAATAAGTCTTAAACCATCAAAACCCGCATGGGGGCTGACGCCATCCCACTCACCATTTGTCAATCTCCACTATTGCCTCAAATCCTCGTCCAGGATTTATGTAGGTCAACCATTCGGGACTCATCTTCAAGGCTAAAATCTCCGGAACGAAATTTCTCAAACCAACGTTCATTAACAGTATCATTGCCAAATGCCTGGTAAATTTTTCGAGCTATTTCGGCAGCGTTTTGGTTCAATTTAAATTCGTAGAGAAAAATTGACCGAAAATTGCCTAATGATATCATATAAGCTGAAAAGAAGCAAACGGACAAAACTTTTGAAACAAGCTAATAGTTTCGTTTTTCGTAATTGGTAAGAAGGTAAATGGTTATAAAAAAATAAGGTGTTTTAATAATTGCAACAATTTCAAAATGTCAATCTAATTGAGTGGAGAATCATAGGGATTCTCATTGTTTCATTTGGTTGAAATTTCTACGAATTTTGCATACATTCAAGACATTTGGATTTGAGTATTACAATTTCCTTCAAAAATAGGTATCGTATATGTACACACCACATCCAATAGATGCACATTTACGTGGTGATCACGCATCTTTCATTGTTTGGGTTACTTTGTTTGTTGAATGGACAGAGTGTGTGGGACGGTAGCCTCGTGGGTTGACGTGAGTGATTTGCTTCACTCACTCAATCCACCCTTGTGTGAGCTGGTGGTTCGAACCGGAAAGTCGGACGATCGNCACAAGTTAAAAGGTAAGACCTCGTTGATCCTTAGCTCGCACAAGTTTCGAATTTTGAAAGCTGGCGTTCGTAGGGGGACAGCTGGCTAACGGTAAAACAGATTTTAACAGATTTTTTTTGATCAGGCTCTCCTCTCTTCAAAAAATTCATTCGAAATGTTTACGAGCAAATTCACTCAGAGTGAACTGAATACTGGAAAGACATTCATTTTGTTGAATTATGAATACGCTTTTTATAAAAATACATTTCGTTAACATCATTACCTTCTGTGACTTGGGCATCAATTTTTTCTCTGCTATAACGTATTATTTACGATGAAGTCATGTTCTCAAATCCCCATCTTAGATACCAAAATATACAGTGAAACGAATATTTGAAAAAATGTATTTAATATTATTCTGAAATATTTGTTTTATTTACACAAACATCAATTACTTGAAAACTAGAAAACATTCAAACTGACCCATTATGTGAAATTCACATTGAGCGTTAATCAGATTATAACCTATTTAAATTTTCTCTCAATTATTTCACCTTGAAAAAACGTTTCAAAAATACAATCTGAAATTACACAAAGAAGTCGTTATGAAATTTTAATACATGAAATGACTCCCTTTCGAATGTAACAACATTGTATTGTATATTGAATGAGTAAATATATATTATTCGAAAATGAGAAATTAATGTTGCAGTAAAATGTCATCGACATGAACTAATGAATATGTTATGGTTTTTTATATAATATTTTAATGGATCTGTTATTAACTAAGAATATAATAGTGTTTTATGTGTGCATTCTATTGTTAATAAAATATATTTACAAGTTGGGTATTTTTTTTCTTTGATACCAAGAACTGTGGTCATTAGTCTCATGTTCCAATATTCTGGTTATGTAAATAAGTCCCAGAGAAGATCATGACTATTCGCCCCTTCGACTCTCTGGTCTTTCATACACAGTAAAAAAGGTCATTCGCGTATATATCGGATATAATGAAACTTGACGATGAGATATTTGACAAGCCTGGGGATATTGTCGATGGATTCGCCAAGTACTTCAAAAGTGTTTAGGTACTTGGTTTCGGACGAGAATATGCTTCGTGAAAATTATCATGATTCTGATTTAGATACATTAAACATCCCTTCCTTCTCTAAACTCGATATTGTTACTGCTTCAAAAAAATTAGGAAATAAACTCACCGCAGGCGTTGACAATGTTCCTAGTCTTGTGATAAAGGACTGTATCGGCGTTCTCTCTATAGAACTCTAATAGGCATATTCAACTTAAAGGTGAGCACTGATGATGACAAAAGTCGAAAGCGCTTTGCAATAATTTTATAATATACACTTTCATACAAAAACCTCTTCGATTCATAATTTAAATTATTTTCAGATTGTAGAAGGTGAAAATTCCAGAAAGGTTGATGAAAATGAAGCATTTTAAAAGTGAAAATAACCTATCATGAGGTATTTCAGGGATCTAAAAAAATATAATCTCTTAGGGTGATAGCAATCTAAACAATCTGCTAATAAATACTTCTAAATGCTGCTCATTTCTATTAATATTTATAGATCAATATTTGTGAGTGGTGAATTGAAATCTTGAGGATAACAATGATAATAACAAAAACGGTTTTCATTTCCATTTGGAATGATTTTGACTACTTATATTTTTACATTCAACAATCTTTCGATTCTTCCAATAAGAGTAGGAATAGGTCAGGCTAGGATATGTCAAACGTGAGTCGATCTATTCGATCCTCCGCCGCAACCCGACTCAAATCAATAAGTTCAAAAAACTACCGCAAGAAAAGCAAAGTAATTCCAGTAATAGGAAAAATACCCAAAAATATATAAAGAAAAGTGCAGTTAACAACATTTGAAATAGTTAGTGCTATGAAGGAAACAGTTTTGAAGTTACTTCCTGAAATATCTGGTGATTACTGATCTGAATTTAAAATTTTTTTTGTCACGATCGAATTATATTAGAAGTGACTTGAATGAATATGAGAGAATGGCAGTAACATACCTTCGTTCTGATATTAATATCAAAATACTTCCAGCTGATCAAGGTAATGTCACGCTGATAATGATAATATAGCAGAAAACGTTAACAAAAAAACTGAAAGATGATCCAACGAAATCAGTTGAACAAAAAATACATATAACTTTGGCTAGATATAAAACTATGCTAACCAAAACACAACTAATTTCCTATTTCAGTAAACCTCCTCATTTTCATGGTTTACCAAAAATACATAAACTGTATGTTCTAAATGGATCTCCGTGTCAAAAATTAGCAAATACGTTTCTGAAAATATAAAACTATGCTAACCAAAACACAACTAATTTCCTATTTCAGTAAACCTCCTCATTTTCATGGTTCACCAAAAATACATAAACTGTATGTTCTAAATGGATCTCCGTGTCAAAAATTAGCAAATACGTTTCTGAAATTCTAAAACCAATATCAGGAAATAAATAGTAACAGTTTTCTTAAAACTAGAGCTCATTTCAGGAATTGGAGATGACTTTCATTAACAAGAATTTGGCATGGATATGGGTTTCCCTTTATTTCCCATCTTCGGTATTTTCCATTAATTCGGTTACTGTACATATTTTTTAAAAATCCCGAAACACGTCAAATGTTAATTTTAATTTGACACTCTTCAACGTAAAAATTCCACCCCTACATTCAACCCCCTTCGAAGAACAGGTACCAGCCCCAATTTTTTAAAAGGGAAGTACAGGCTCTATTCAAAAATGTTATCCCTTTCAAGTTTATTGCAATAATTAGGATAAAATAAATTAAAATCATATGGTTACCGAAATTCGATAAAATACACTCAAAAACTAAAATGTAATGCAAAACGTAATGAAATGTAGAATATGAAAAAGAACTATGGATTTTAACCGAGTAGATGTCAAAATGTTCACCGCGAACGTCTTGTTATTGTCAGACATCAACTTGGTAATGTGGTGGTGCTCCATCCTGCTGAAACCATATCGTATTTACTGAAACTTGAGTGTTTCCTGGATCCGGATATAAATTTGCTAAATTTGGAATGACATCATTTTGAAGTAGTGCCAAATAATTATCGCTATTCAAGTTGCCGTCAATAAAAAAGGGACCAATGATATGTTTTTCTACAATCCCTACCCAAACATTAACCTTTTAAGGGTATTGCGTGTATTCTTCTCTCATCCAGTGAGGAATTTCCGTTGACCAGTAGCGGCAATTTTGCCTATTGGCATCACCGTTAGAGACACATGACCAAGCTAGCAAAACTGCTTCTCTATTTTGCTTATTGTTCCTTGAGATATGGGCGGTAAATTAGGAAATTTCTCATGAAATAGGCGAGCTACTACCTGTTGTGTTCAAGTTTCATCTCCGTAACTAATCATTTGTAAAATTGTTATTTTTATGCATTTCCGTTAATCAGCATTTGTCAGACTTGAAGTTAACGAACTTTAAACCTAAATTAAAATACTGAAAACTAATGTTGTAACATATAAAACAAGTTGACAAGGCGTTTTAAACTAACATTTCCATGGAAATTATTTACAGTTGTTTAAAGGATTCCATCTAAAAAGAACATTGCTATGGTTTTTGCTTACTTTCTTATTATCAATACCTCAACATGAAATAAGTTTTGAGTATATTGCAATGAGTTTTAATATCAAATTTCGGTAACCATATGATTTAAATTTATGTTATCCTAATTGTTGCAATAAATTCGAAAGCGATAACATTTTTGAAAAGAGAATGAAGATACCTTTCAAACGATATATCACAAGCCTATACTTCCCATTTGAAAAAATGGGGGTTGTACCTGTCATTTCACGGGGATTGAAGGTAGGGGTAGCGTTTTTTCGTTGAAGTATGTCGAATAAAAATTTAAATTGGACGTTTCTCGGAATCTTGTTGAAATATGTACCGTAACCGAAATAATGAATTTATTTCATTGGGCTTTTACACACAAAACCCAACAAAACAGAAGAAAAAAACGAAAATTGTAATCATGAGATATCTTGTTCTTGTGGTAAAAGTTATATTGGTGAAACTTTGAGACTATCAAAAGTGCGTGATGTCGAAATTACATCAGAAATCGGCAAATAACAGGATTAAAACTGTCAGAACACATTTTGAAATCAGACAGTGAACATCGAGTTGAATGGAACAAGAAATGGCTCCTTGTTGTTTTCGAATTCATTCATCAACTCAATATTCGAGGGTCTTTCATTGTTATTGCATTTAGTTTGCATTTGCAAAAACCGAATATGAAAGTAGCTCTCAAAACTGCTTGCTCACTTCAACGAATGTGGAACCCTAAGGACAAGCTGGTGGAAAATGAAAAGTCTTGGATATATAAAGTAGGCTGTCGAAACTGTAAGAAAAATTATCAGTCAAACTGAACGAGCTATTAAAACCAATTTCGAAAAATACGCTGCATGTATCCGATTTCGTAAACCAGAAACTTCAAGTGGCGCTCAACACGCTTCAGCATGTTGATTAAAACAATGATAATTCATTGATGCTGAAAATGACGAGAGGATAACTGATAATTGATGAATTTATAATTCAACTAAATTATTATTATTATAATGTTGTTTTTTATGCATCCAGATTGATTAGTTTTATCACTATTATGTTTACCCCTTCATTCGCTCTGTAGCGGGGGGCGTTAAAATATCTTTCGGGTAAAGTCTCTCCCGTAGAGTTGAACAGAAGAAACAGAATCTGCAACAGAAGAGGAAACTCCGCCTGAGCAGATCGGCAAACGCCCAAACAGATGATTCACTCAAACCAGAAGCGAAAAAGGGCTGCGTGGCTTGATCAAACGTATTATTAGGTAAAGCCGAGTTAAAGATGTCCTCAGGTGGGAAGGTTACTCCGGTCATTAACGTAAAAATCTTGCATCTTGAACATCCATCCTCCATTTCAATCCATCAACTGGAATGTCCTCAGTATGATATTATGTCCGCAGTGGAGGATATTCCAGAAGATGGTCCACAGATACGATTTCGGAGCTGCACATTCCAGCCTGGATGACTACAGATTACCTGAGAGGATCAGGATTGCATCTACAGGTTGATGGGTGCAATACTAATTGCACCCACCACTGCAGGGTACTATGCAGCAATTCATGGGAGGGTATTTTCCTGAAATGCTTTTGTGTTGCTTACCTTATTCCTACCTGACGACGGTAGTCATATAATGACAACTAATCAAGTACACAAGTACACAAGTATACACTTGGTCGTGTATAGATAGGTATGAGCTCCAATAAACTCCCTTATGGTTTGCGATGGAGGGTCGAATAGACACTCACTCACTTGAGATCTATCTACTTTAATCCTTTATATTCAATTCATCTTTCACTGCCTGAACCACTGTGCATGCTGTTTTTGGCGAGTGCATTGGCTTGGGCTGGATACGGGAAGCAGGTATTCCCTAACTGAATGGCATCCCAACTATGGCTTGATCCCAAGGTGTGTGTATCCGTGCCAAGAGGATGAATGACACTGAACCTATCAGCTGTATCTACGGAACCTTCGAGATACCGGGCACCCTCTCGTCATAGCATCGCCTTGTCACGGTAATCGGGGCTCTGCCGTGATTAACCTTCTTTCCCTAGCTACTCGTGGGACTTTTATGGACAGAGTAAACTTAAAAATTCTTTCTGATGCTGAGTCTACAGAGGAGATGGATGTCTAGCTTACGACTCCAACTGACCTCCCTGTAAATTTAGATCAGAAGCGAGTCTACAGAGGATGTCGAGCTTACGACTTCATGAGCAGCACGAGTGAATGTAAGGCATCGTCAGGTGTAGCTGACGTGCAAAAACCCTCATATGGGAAAATTGTCGCGGGTATCAAGGTGGGAATCTTGCACCTTGACTATCCGACTACCTCATTAACGATGAAACAGTAGAGCATATACTTTGTGCCTGCCCTGCTGGGGACCGAATCAGGTTTTTAGAGTTCGGCAGAGCTGTACCATCTGACCTGAAAGACCACTAACCATACAAAATAATCGGCTTCGTTAAGTAGTTGGGTTTACTTGTTCGAGTATGAATAGGTGTGAGCCACAATAAACCGTTGCGGGTTGCGGTGGAGGGTCGAATAGACCCACTCACTTTGTACCTAACCTAACCTAACCATATTCAATTCATGAAATGAGTGTAATAATCACTTTCTCAATCATTTGGTAAGGTCATTATTACCATAAACTATTATGAGGGGGTCATACGGTGAGGAAAATTTTATAACTTTTAGGTACTTTCAACTAATGCCCTGCACCTTCTCGCGATATATATTTAACAAAAAAATGATTTTAAACTTTCAAAATACAACATTTTTACAACTTTCACAATAAAGCTCTGAAATATATTTAACAATCAAGGCGTCCAAATAAAAATTAAATACATATATTGTAAGTGAACTCCATTCAATATATTTATTTAGTTTCGAAAATATTGGTACTTGAAAACTTGAGTGAATGGACAATGGATTTTTAGCCATAACAGACAAGCGTCCTCAAAACGTGTTTTAATTCGCTGGTAGCCTCATCCTGCAATAGTACAAAAATATGTAGGTGACTACGAAGTATAATAAAATATTTTATTTTCTAATGGCAGTAAATGAGAAGCTAGTGAATTTTACTCCAAGGCATACATTTTATTTCTAAGAGTACAGTTACAGTGCAGTTTATACGGAAATTAGTCGACAATGGCCAAAAGAACCCTCTTGTAATCTCCGGAGGTATCACCCTGCAAAGGATAGCAATGTCAGTACATCATACATGCAAAGAGACGCATAACAATTTTGGAAATGTGTTGAAACATGTGCTTGAGTATTTGGAAATGTAAGTAATCAACTTATTATTCAAATGGCAACAATATACCGACCGAACAGCCAATAGCAGTCTACTTTTAAAGTAATAGAAGCGTAAAAACTCTTCTCATTATAAAAGTTTCAGGATTCCTCGGCATCTGCTCATGAAATGTGTTCAAGTGTTGGATATTTGTGAACGTAGCATACGATAAATAAATACTCTCATGACATTAAAAACAAAAATAAGTTATAATGGAATCGGCAATATTTAATAACCTCCATCCTTGTGTTTGTGTGCATTCATTGTTCAATTACCTTTTAGAAAGAATATACACAAAAAACTATTTTCAAGACTTGTTCAAAAGAACTAACAAATGAATGAGTACTGACAGATCTCAAAACTTTCAAGTATCCGGAGCAAGAAGAAAAACTTTTCCGTATTAGATTCCAGGCTGTGATTTTTTTATTACGGATCATCTAGGTACAGAACCCGCCACGGCTGATGGCAAGCGATCGCGCAGGTATGAACTCTCCCAACTAAATTACTTTTGGATTACGATAAGCCCCTTGCATGCCAGTGTCGTACCTATAATTAGTTTCAATTAGGATAGCAAATGGAACATGACTTCTTCGTAATCTCTTTTCATATTTTATTTACTATTATAGGTAGTAGTACAGTTCATTGAAATGTTATGTAATGATACACTTGATGACTGGTTTTTGTTAAGCTATGACATTTTTTCAGAAACAACACAGATTATTCAGACAATGCCAAACGCCAACAGCATTGGAGGACAAGTTATGATATGCCTCTGTACAGAGCATTTGTATGTCTTGCAAGAGCTGCAGTGGGGTTACATTCAAAATGAGTTTGTGCGCATGGGGGCGGGCTCGCCATCATGTTTGGCGCTTGATGTGCCTATGGTTAGGAATCATTTAATATTACTGATAATTTCAGTATCTCTGAATGTAGGTGAATAAAATGTATTAGTAATTGATTAAATATCATTTAAACATTCGTCATCTTGCCATGTGAGGCATAAAATATATCTCAAATTAGGTACTAAAAATAACTCTTCAATTAACTTTTGCCAGATGCAGATTCCATTTATTTCTTGAACATAACATATAAAGAGTTTTAATGATATTTCAGATCTTATAAATTCATAAAAAAGTGTGCTGCAGCGATATTTTGAATCTTGTCACACTTGCCGTGACATATGGCAGTTTAAATCTGACATGGGCATGTTAGTCTGGAGATGTAACCGTGATTGTTGGGTAAGTCCTCATACCTCTAATTAAGTCTCTCATGGCATAAATCAGTTGTTAGTAGATCGGTAAAACTATTACTTATTCACATATTGAACGTCTCAATATATACGCTTTTCGAGACAATTTGAATAACAAAATTATGCCAAATTTAATTATACGAAAACAAATTCAAAGACACTATTTAAGGTTGTACAATATTATCAAACACTGATATTTTTTACTTGCCAAATTCCTACCTCTATAGTGATTCAATTCTTCATAGACAAATTATTGACTTATCATGCAAGTTAATATATTAGAGAATTTTTGTGTTATTTTTTCTCGAGCTTCGTCTGTAAATTAATTCGACCAAATAATCAAGCACATGCATATGTATTGATAGGCATAATAAATGACAAAGGAGATACGAAAGTACCAGGTTTTTTAGCGTCCCGATTAAAAAAACTACAAAAAGCAATCTATAGATACCAACCCACAACGAGTAACAGTGGTAACATTTAATTCAACAGATTGGGTCCGCTCAAAAAGATGATTGAAAATGTATCTGTCTTTCTTCAATATAGTAATTAAACGATGTCACAAATAATTTCAACCCACTTTTTAAGGAATCGAATCTGTCGGTATTAACATAATCAGTAATACATTTAAAGCCCATCCATCAATATATTATCTATGAGTGCAATTAAATAAACTACACACCTTTTATATTGAACAAGTCGAATTTTCTTGATATCAAAAATAGGAAGTTGAAACAACTGAATAAACGAGTTATAACCTCTGAGAAAATTTCTAAAAAAATTACCACATCAGACGAATATCTTGTAGTTTAATCAAATCAAAATCCATTCTAGTTCCCCATTTTTGCAGCGACGTTTGAAATATATTTCACATTAATATTTCCCCCTTTTGGGTATCAAACGAAATTATAATTATTATAGTTCATCAGACTATGATGTGTCTCGGTAAGTTGGAACCACATGGAGCATTTATTATGGGTTATTTATCATAAAAAGTTCTACGACTGAAACCTAAAATGCATCCGTTATCATATTCTTTCAGTAGCATATAAGGTTTATAAAAAACAAGAATTTTGCTCAAGAGTTGAAGTATCTTCATTTTTGGCAATATTGAGAATTTGTAGGTTGATGTGGAGTTGAGCACCAGTGGATTCTTACCCCAGTACTCCGTGTGGAACGAAGCCCTAGATGTGAAGATTTTTAATTTTTCCAGTGACGGTTACAGTCCTGGGATATTTTTGCCATCCCATGCAATGGCACCGCAGAATGTTCCATATGGTGGCTTACGTCGCGAGCACCTTAATAAAGCTAATGGACTAGAGGCTAACATCGCCTCACCCGTTCAGTGGGGTCCGCATAGCGTTGATCATTTCCTCGGTTACCACCGTGTGAGCGGGTCAGAAGCCTACTCATGTTCCGGATTGACAATACCGAATTACATTTACGTCTCACCATTGGGCTACTTCGATATTGATCGAAGCAATACACCCCACACCTATACCTTAACTTTGACCCTCTACTGTTATAGCGGTCATCAATCTCTTACCTCTACAAATAGTTTAAACTTCTATTCTCAACTTGTGTACTGGCTTAAGGGTGATTTTTATTTTTATACTACCCTTCCTAGACGGCAATACTTTCATACCAAAAACTCTGTGATAAGGCGCCAAAGCATTTATCATATTCGCAGTGATCGGAGGGGCAGGATTTCTTTGATGTATAGACTCGTCAGGGCGCTGACATGTGACTTTCAGACTTAGAGCTGGAAGATTTTTATTAAAATTTACTAAAAAAAATTGATGAATATTGAAAAACATACAACTCTTGTGTCTAGAGAAACGAATAAATCTTCCAAATTTTTCATCAAAATACTACTCACAGTAATCCAGCTTTCCAAAGTTTTGCCATATTTATCCAAAAATGCTTGTTTGATATCAGCCAAGTCGATTTCAGATCTAGATACAATAATACGGATCAATGTCTTGTCGTTTGTTCCCAAACCAGCCATAGCATCATGAAGACGCTCTGCAAAGTATCCTACTTTGCTCTTAACGCATTTTACTACAAAAAACGTAATTTAATTTTACAAATCTTACTAATGTGTGACAAGGTGCAACTATCACTAACCGATTCCCAACAATCCTTTCTCAATGCTTCCTGAAAACTCCTTTTTGATTGTTGCTTCAATGTCTTTCCCAGTCAATCTTTCGTACTCGGAGAAGGTAGCTCTCAACTGTTGGTAACTTCTTGTTATCAGGACTGTGTTGAAAACAGATTCCTCGGTGCCCCATTTTGATTCGCCAGCTGCAATGATAGCTTCGGCATCTGCCACTGCTTGTTGCTCATTTACCCCTTGATTTTCTTCACGATTGGCCTTGAATTAATACATTTTCAAATAAACAAAAGTCAATATGAATATTACTGGAGTTTCATCCCAACACCAAACGACTCGTGTTTCAATCACCAATTGAGCATCTTGCATCTTCCTCTTAAAGATGAAAAGGGTTCACATAAAGATATAGATAACTATCGCGAAATATCATTACTGAGTATTCTATCTAAACTTATTGAAAAAATAGTAGCAAATAGAATTATTGTGTTCGTCAAAAAATACAAAATTCTAACCAATCATCAATCATCATCAGTTGAGACTGCTACTGCTAGATTTTTTTTTAATTGAAAATATCCGTTGTCCTAAACATAAATGTAACTTATTTTCAGATGTACCCGACACAAAATTAAATGTCAGCTCCTGAACAGGCCATTACATTTTTCACCGCAATTAATAAAAATCAAAATTTGAAAAATATAAGTTTTCAAGATAATAGTATATTTTTTTGTTATGTATAGATGGTGCATTTTGCCCTAGAAGTCATTAATTTTCAATGTAGAGATCGATACTTTTCAGTAGTTTAGCATGAAACCTAATACAACCTCGTTATTCGTTGTGTAGGAATGTATCGACTTATTCAACGAAATTATTCAGTATGAGTAATTGTATAAATATTTGTGTAGGAAGCAGATGATGTCATTTAGTTTTAATTTACGTTGAAAATAATTCATCAAATCATAGTGTTAGTAATGACTAATGCAATTAGGTTACTCTCAAACATAACCAGGCTTTTAAATGTTTAGTTCTCAGCAAATCCTTCACCTACATATTAATAAAATACTTTGTCTTATAATTCATAAGTGTCTTCGAGAACAAAAGAGTTGGCGGTTTTCAAATAATATATAAACGACCGAAATTTACTAAAAAAAATTGATGAATATTGAAAAACATACAACTCTTGTGTCTAGAGAAACGAATAAATCTTCCAAATTTTTCATCAAAATACTACTTACAGTAATCCAGCTTTCCAAAGTTTTGCCATATTTATCCAAAAATGCTTGTTTGATATCAGCCAAGTCGATTTCAGATCTAGATACAATAATACGGATCAATGTCTTGTCGTTTGTTCCCAAACCAGCCATAGCATCATGAAGACGCTCTGCAAAGTATCCTACTTTGCTCTTAACGCATTTTACTACAAAAAACGTAATTTAATTTTACAAATCTTACTAATGTGTGACAAGGTGCAACTATCACTAACCGATTCCCAACAATCCTTTCTCAATGCTTCCTGAAAACTCCTTTTTGATTGTTGCTTCAATGTCTTTCCCAGTCAATCTTTCGTACTCGGAGAAGGTAGCTCTCAACTGTTGGTAACTTCTTGTTATCAGGACTGTGTTGAAAACAGATTCCTCGGTGCCCCATTTTGATTCGCCAGCTGCAATGATAGCTTCGGCATCTGCCACTGCTTGTTGCTCATTTACCCCTTGATTTTCTTCACGATTGGCCTTGAATTAATACATTTTCAAATAAACAAAAGTCAATATGAATATTACTGGAGTTTTANATATAATTTTTACATTTTTTATTTATGACATGTCTTATATCATGTAAATGATCGAAAATACGAACAAAGTTATTATTTTTATTATTATTATGATCACTTGGTGTTCGAAACACGTGTTGAAGTGTTGAAAATAACCAAGGTTCCAACAGTGCATTACAAAAGTCAATATGAAAAACATATACCAGTGAATATGGTGTAAAATATTATTTTCGTGAATAGGATTCACTTCAAACAGAAATGATTGTTGAAATAGACGAAATTTTTATGAACAGCTGTAGTTGACAATCTCAGTTGAAGTTTTGCTGTCGGCTCTTTTATCTTTTTCAATTTACGACTGGGATTAAAGACCACTTGTATTATTGTGTACTTATGATATAGTTACAGTCACTCATTTCGAAGGAATTTACTTTAAATGTAAATAAAACCCACTTGATAGCTTCCAACTGATATTTCACAATATTTGTAATTCAGAATTAGTGTTCTGGTTATTGATATCAATGAATGAAACCGTCAGGTATTTTATTTGATCAAATTGATTTTCTAATAAATCTTAGAACAATCTAAATAATATTTCCAATTTATCCCTTTTATTCAATTATGTTATGGAAGCGAATTGGAAATTATATTTCAAAAAGTTTGTTTTCCTAATAGAATCGTCAAACAACAGAACTAGATGATAACAAAAATTTATATTTCATACTCACTTGAACTAAAGAAACTAAAAGTCTCTTGAAATGGCCTGAGGTGTCATCTTTCAAGTCTTTTTCTAGAGGTTTGCCATAAACTGTAACAAATATAATTATATACAAACGTATCAAAATAAGAAGTTTTTAAAAGTACTATCATTGTGAGTTCAGCTCTCCATAAACAAACATTAGAGAAAAAGAGAACCACCACAAGATGTATGAAAACCTAATTATTCTTATTTCAAAAATGATATAACTGATTTCAAAACTACGAACAGAATATTATAAAGTTTTTGAGTAGAGAAACAAAAACTAGGAAGATGCCATATATTAAATTTCAGATCATATCTTGATCACGCGAACATAACCAACAAAACGCGCATCCAAAATAGTAAGAGTTCTGGTGTCGTCCAGATGAGAGATAAATGATAAAACAAGTAATGATTCTTGATCAACTACGAGTTTTTCTCATAACCTAGAACGTAATGATGGTGGTATCTTGAATTATTGGAAATGTCCACGTTAACACATCACATTCATAGACAGCTTTTTTAATTATTTTTTCACTCTTGACCTTTCTTGCTATCGTAATACACAGGGTGAATTTCTTCTTTTCCGTGGAAGATTCCCTCATCCTTGTTTTTTGTATCAAGATGGAGTAGTAGAAAGCCAAAAACTTTCTTTCCCAAAAATTAATCACTCCTAAAAATATAACCCCTTCAATTCAAATAAGACTACATCATATTATGTTTCCTCCTTCCTATTATGGAAGATGTCAGCGATTTCTTATATTTTATTTGATTGCTTGGATATAGCCATTGTATATTTTGAAATTGTCACCCTGCATATGTAACTTTATAGGCAGAGGATAATTATAGTCCAGGAGAGATTTAACAGTCTCCCCCATTTATTTGAGAGAGTACCACATAGCTAAAATTATAAGAGTGGAACTAAAAAATATCGATAACTCATGTGAAAATTTTTTAAAATATCGCCGATTTCAACAGAAGCTGTAGACTATTTGGGTGTAGCAGTGGGTTCAGCAGAAGCAACAAAAGGGTAGCATATGTTACTGAAGCAGAAAAATCGGTTGGAAGATGTCGAGGATCCACATCTTCATTTCTAGGTATCGTGGAATATTGCCAGAAGTCACTTTTTTTTCGACCTTTCAACTAAAGTTGACCTCAATTAATTCACGTGTCTGTCCATGGTTCTACAAGTCTAACTTGACAATGTAATGCCGATTACGAATTTTCTCTTTTATTCCACAAAATTTTAATAGATGCTTGTTATTGATGGAAAGTTAAGCCTAAACTCTCTCTTTCACTTGATCGTATTTCAACTTATTTCAACAATTTTTATTAGAACATCTGGAGCTTTAAGACGGTTTGATTGAATTTACGCACACACTTCACGAATTTTGACCAAAACATTTACTCCATCCTGGAATTTGATTTGTTTCCGAACAGCTGCACTGAATAAGTAAGTCAGCTGATCTGAATACTGTTTATTTTACACGAATAAGTAAAGAAAATGGGAATCTTAGAATCCACAACTCTGATGATATAGTGAAAAAGTATATTTGAAAAGGCACCCAGTCCTCACGATGTTTTTGTCATGATGTTTTTGTTTCGTTCCGAAATTATTTTGAAATCAATCCAATATTGGAAAGGTCAGAAGGTAAAACTTGTTATGCTACTTAAATTAACAGAATCAATTGATCACATTACTATTTATAGAACTTGCATAATCTGAACAAATAATTACCAAGGACGACGATGAGGTGGTCAGTTATGAATAATCTACTAAGTTGTTACACAAGTTTGGCATAAATTAGAGAGTTAAAAGTGTCACAGGATGTGTTTCGCAAAATGCTCAGTGTGAATTTATTTCATCACATAAAGACAAAAATATTGCATATTTTATGCCTTGATTTCATGTTTATTTCTATTTGTCTGTATGTTTATGCAGTTTTTATTACAAAATGGTATATAATCCAAATATTGAAACTTTATAACACACTTGTAGAAGAAGTAATGGAATAGACTAGTTTTGGTAATAATATTTAATCAGAACAAGCAACAATGACGACAAAATAAAAGTTTTTTGAGGTAACATAAATAACAGTTCAGTACTTAGTGTTTTCTCCTCTAGCTCTAACGATAACCTGCATCCTCCTGGGCATACTCCGCAAAAGGTATTTGATGGTTTCTTGTGGAGTTCGAGTCCATTCTTCCTGTGCAAGAATTCTTAATTCTGCAATTGAGTTAGGAGCTGGATTTCGTGCTCGTGTAAATCATTTTAGGATGTCCCAAATATGTTCTATGGGATTTGCGTCAGGACTGTTTGGTGGCCACTGCCTCAAGTCCAACAACTTCAAGACACTGGGTGACTGTTCTTGCAGCATGTGCACGAGCATTATCATGCATTAACACGAAATTGTCGTGACCAATGATGCCGCCGTGAGGTAAAACATGCTCTTCAAGGATTTGCGTACGTACCAATCAAAATTCATTCTTAAATTCCCCTCTATAAGCTCGGTGCGACTGTCCCAACTAATGCCACCCCACAACATAATGGAAACACCACCAAAGCTAACGTTATGTACAAGAGTACATTCAGCGAAACGTTCTCCAGATCTTCTATATACTCGACCACGTCCATCTGGTTCCCATAACTGTATTCTTGTTTCATCTGTGAAAATAAATTTTCCCCACTGATGTTCATTCCAGTTGACGTGGGCTATGGCAAATTATAACCGACTAGACTTGTGACCTGGAAGAAGCCTAGGAACTCTGTCAGGGCCTTTTGGATTTAAACCAACTTCTTTGAGTCTTCTTATTATTGTGTTGACACTTGTCTTGTGCTCAATAAATCATTTCTGAGATGCGGAGCTGTTAGCGTGCGATTTCGCAAAGATTGAATTTTCAAATATTGGTCATCTCTTAGCGTTGTACATATCTTACGTCCTTGACCAGGCTGCCTTTTGTACTCCTCAGTCTCATTGTATCGCTTCACAATACGAGACACAGTCGATTGATGGATATGCAATCTCCGCGCAATATTTTCTTTAACAATTTTAACACAAACCAATTCGCTCAAATGCGACATTTCACTAAGAAAACTACAGAATCCAGACATAAAGTCATGTCCAAGCATTTTTTTATCTATACTGAATGGAACTTTACGTAAAATACTTTGTTGGCCTTTGAACATTCATCAATAAAAATAAATAAGGAAAATGTTAAGGAAAAAGAAATTAACAGTTTTTCCACCATATGGGGTTTATAAACCTTCCCATTAATGATTTAGATTTAGAAGATGAAAATAACGCGCTACGGGTAGACGTCCAACATCGGACAATGTCTCTAGCGGTGCTTGCCGTATAATTCATACTCCGTCTGGCAGATCTAGAGCAGCGGTAGAAAAGGGAAATAAATTTTTGGATTATTATTTATTGATGAATTTTGTAATTACTGTGTACTCGAATAGAGATTTTTTTTAAATTTGTACATGATGTGAATTTTACAAATTTATCTCTCAGTGGTTTATAAATATGATTAGAAACAAAAATATGCTGAATCATTTGACCATGATTTGATAGTCAGATTGAACTCTTCTGAGATTACTGAGATTGACAGTTTTGTAAAGTTTTGAAATTAACGGTGTTGTACTTAGAATGAACAGTGCTGAGTAAAATCGTCGACTTTGTTGAAGTTGTTGGGTTTTCGGAGTTTGCTAATAACTAGTTTGTGAAACTTAACGTCTATTAGTTTTGTTGTTTAAAACTTCAGGATATCATTAGGTCTGTCTTATTCAATTCAGTGAATCAATAAAAGACGAGTCAGTCATTGATGAAGGATACAGAACGGACGATTTCGTGTTCTCAAAGACAAGCAGAATTGATTTTGTAATACAGCCACTCATTTCGACACAAGATGAGAAGATTAGTCCTGCTTGCTCCTTTTATTCGCCTTGAATGTACAATCCATCCAAAAACATGTCGATCGGCCTCATATAAGTAAACAGAGGCGCTGCTAACAACTAATCACAGGGTATTTAAAACCAGCATTTCATATTAAAATATCTGTTTTGTGACCGAAATCAATGAAAGAACAGTTAAATTAAGTACATAAGTACACTGAAAGGAACAGAGAACGGAATTCTTATCACTGCGAAGGTTTTTACTTTCAGACCTCCATTAGCATTCTCTCTTAGCGTATTTATGACGGTTTTTTCATGTGCCAAAGCAATATATTGTGCTTTTTTGTCAAATGCATCATCCATTCTTCTTTAACCTCACAATCATTATCGTCGAACGATAAGACTTGATTCTATTCTGTACATTTTGAAATGCTTTCGTGGGTAGTTAATGCGAATAATGAATGAACAATATCGAGGTTTTATAAACACAAATAGATAAGATACTGCAAATTTTTTCAGCTGTGATTGATTTCGATGCAAGAAAAAAGTTAAATCTTTTCACACTGCTACTCTAATTGCTCTATTGAACCTAGAGTAGCCGTGCATTTCTTGCACTCCCATTTGAATTTTTCCATTTGATTTCATTGGTATGAATTTAAAATAAGTGTAACACTCACTTTGTTCGTAAAACTGTGCAATAGTACGGATTCCGTAATTGGAGAGAGTGCACAAGATCTCAATGATAGCCTCTTCGTCCGTACCCAGTCCGGCAACAGCGTCGTGTAATTCTTTGGCATAAAACTGGGGCAACGGAGTCATCAGTGCCACCATGACGTCTTCAAATTTGCCGCCGAGCTCGCTTTTCAGCTCGGAAATCAGATCTTTTCCGTAAGAGGTTTTGAAGGTTTCGGCAATTTCCAAACGTTGAACAATGCCTCGTCTCGCAAGAACGTCGATTATGGCCTTCTCGTCGGCACCAAAACCTTTCATGGCCTTCTTGAGGGTGGCGGCATCGGCCACGGGGTCGAAGGGATCTGCTGGGTAAACCGTGGGGGTACACTGAAAAACATTATAAATGGACATATGTTAGTATTGATATGATATTATTGTTCAAACTTATCTAGGCTAATTGACTTAATGATAAAACAGTCAATGAGGTATCGTTTGGTTGAGGTGCGTTTTTCTAACGACGACATAATACGCTGAGTTGACCACCCCTTTCCAAAAATTAAATGAAAGTGTTTTACTAGAGGATGTCTGTGTGGAAATCGACGAAATAGACCCGAGTCTTTCTGAGAGGTCCTATTACGTTGTATGCTACATGATTTACTTTATTTTGGTAGCATTTATGTTTAGGAAGTGAGTCATTTTTCGAAGTTCATTGTTCAAATGTCACAAAATTCTGCTAAACCGTGTAGTATCATGAGAATGCATAACTGTCTGTATACCACACAATGTTATAACCATAATTCTTCTTCTTTATAAAATAGTATATAAGATTATGTAAGGTTAGCCATTCACTCTCTTTTTTTTAGGTAATCGTTCTGTAAACTGTGTTCTTGTATTCTGGTGGTGGGTTAGCTTAAATTAAAGTGTTTACCAGTCAACGTTTGTATTACAATACCAGTTTCAGCATATTACATTTATTAACAAAATGTTGAGGTACAAACAGGACTAGCAGCTCCAAATCAGTACCTCCAAATATACACAAAAATGTCATAACTGGGTACTGTGAAATACACTCAAAATTATATTACAATGAAGTCACATTTACAACTACTGAAACGAAAAGAAACCATCTTGAAGAAAAATTTGGATAGTGGCGAAATGGCAACAGACTGATATCGGAGAGTACCTTGTATTACATCGAATGTTTCAGTTGTCAATCAACAACATTGACATAATTTCATATTTCAAAACTCCTTTGACATCTGTCGAAGAAGTAAAGAAATAAACAATCAAAAAAGGAATAACTGCAATATATTAGAATTTTTTTTGTCCATTTCTGAAGACGGAGGCAGATTTTAGCCCCCGAAACGTTAAAGATAAGTATTGTATTATTTCTTAACATTTTTTTTGATAGGCAAAATTGCTAAATACTGATAAATAGAAGATTTTTATGCAGTAACTTATCGGGGTAAACTAAATAGTTTGCCCTTCTACACTATATTTTTCAGATTGTGGAAGGTAACAAATACCCAAAAAAGGTCGATAAAAATCTAAGTGACGTTTTCACTTTTGGATTTTTTTAAGCTAACCAGTGTAACTTCTCTTGCCAATGCCCTGTTCTTCACTATTAGCAATTCCAGTCTTCCTTTGTTGACGGTATTTTACTCAAAAAACCCCTATTCAAGATAAAAATCTCAACCATTCGCCTTGTTGAATTGTTTCAAATTGCAAAGATAATCTGTTCCAGCAATATCAGTTCTCAACGAATTGAATCCAATTTTTTTGAATTCTGATCATTAAAATTGTACAAAAAATCCATATAGTGAATAAGAAAGTAAAGAATGACGTGTCTAAGCAAGATTTCATATGTCCAAAAATGATGTTGGGCATAATTCTTCATTTGTTGTACACTCATTTTCCTATTTATTTCAGTAGAATAAATCGTATAATCATTTCCTAGGTAGTTTTATTATCTTCACCTCTCGTTATTCGAAATGAATAATGACAATTAACTGAGTCAGTTTAACCTCTCCAAGCCCTCAAAAAGTCACTGAGTGTTTTCAGCTCATTTATTAGAAATCAATAGACTTCTTCCTTACTAACGTAGATATATTTTTGAGTTCACACATAAAATACTGCATAAATTATATGGTTCCTGACTGTTATATAACTATATTTCATTTTCTTGCATAACTCTACTGAATTTGGATCCAACGTGGGATTTATATCTGAAATCGTGTTCTAATATTAATCCATATTTTGAACAACTTCATTCAAGGTCAACTCCATTCGATATATATATCTGTTACCCAACTTCCGTTGGTTAGGTACTTGTGTCAGAGAACGGAAAACGTGTATTTATTGTGTGTATTTATAGGTACTTTATATTGATTCAAAGGGATCGAATGGCTACCGGCTATACAACAAAGAAGCTATCAATGTCACCGAGTTCTTTATGCTTCAGAGTATCCAAGAGTATATAGAGAGACAATAGAAATTCATAAACACAGGGATAATTTCAATAGAAAATAAGAGGCAATGAACGTCAATAAAAACTGGCTATCTGTCCTTAAAGTAAAGAGCAGATAGTTGTTGGTTCACAGATGAATCAAAAACACCTTCCGGTTCTGGTGCAGGTGTTTTCAGTCGCAGATCCAGGACAGAGATATCGACCTGCCTAGGAACCTATGCGACTGTATTTCAAGCGGAAATTTACGATATTGAATTGTGTGCTGAGAAATTGGAAGAATCCATCCTCATACACAAGTCAATAAAAATATTATCGGGCTATCAAGCGGCGTTGGGAGCTCTTGGCTCCTACCGAGCAACTTCTAAATTGGTTGCAAATTGACAAAAACGACTCTCCTCGATAGGAAGACTTAATAGATTGTCTCTGGTCTGGCCTGGAGCAACGAGGCTGCTAACTCCCTTGCAAAGGAGGGTGCTGCAAACAGCTTTATCGAACCAGAACCTGTCATTGGCATCGCTTTATGCTTTGCCAAACAAAAATTGAACACCTGGATGGAAAGAAGATTAATGGACTTCTGGCAGAATCTTCCAGGATTGGCTCACTCCAAGGCGTTTATTCACCCTTCGAAGCTTGATACCAAACAGTTGTTGGACTACAGTAGGGATGAACTACGATGTCTAAGGGGCCTTCTTACAGGTCACTGTCATTTGAATCATCATATGCAGAGACTAGGACTGTCGGAAGGCACAGTGTGTTGTCTCTGTTTGGAAAATGATGAAACAGAGCACATACTTTGTGTCTGCCTCGCTAGGGACCGAATCAGGTTTTTGAGAGTTTGGCAGAGCCGTCTGACCATCTGACCTGAAAGACCACTCACTATACAAACTTATCGACTTCGTTAAGAAGCTGGGTTTATTTGGTCGAGTGTGAATAAACCCTTTCGAGTTGCGATGGAGGGTCGAATAGAACCACTTTGGACCTAACCTAACCTAACCTGTCCTAAAAGGTATACAAACAAGGTCAGATAATCCAACTAAGAGACACCAAGTCACGTCCACTAATAATAATATAAAACCAGAGTCAAATAACAACATCGTAGTTACTGCGTTCGGAACAACTCGAGCACCATCTCGGGCATTGCATTGTTACCGCATCGCCTTTGATAATGTCTACCGCAGTATTAGACGAAACGTCAGGCATAGACCACTGCCAAAAAAACCTAAAATAGCTTTCATTCAGTTATCACGGACCATGAAAGGTTACATTCTTTGAGTGGGTCTATTATAATGTTTGTGAGATTGACAAACAACTAAGGATCTCCGTCAACCATGCTATACCTGCACAAAACTCCTTTTTCTTCCGCATACACCACCGACAAAAACTAAACAACTGCATTAATGCAGTTAACAGACCGAACAGATCTAATTAGGTTGAGTAGATCTAGGAATTGGACTGCATTAAAGCAATTGCGTTATTTTTGTTGGTTGTGTGTGTGGTAGACGTATATTGATTTATTTAAACACCCTTAAATANACCTCGTTAGTTCTTAGCTCGCACAAGTTTCGACTTTTGAGAGTTGTCGTTCGTAGGGGGACGATAGCTGGTTAACGGAAAAACATTGAACAGATTTTTAAACAGATATTCATGAGATATTAAAAAAAAAATGAAATATAATATATGAGTCATGACCATAAGGTGTTACTACAGTAGGTATTCATTTATATTCCGGTAAAACAAGTGGTACTGTAATAAATCACCTACCGGATTTTTAATGTAATAGTATATTTTACGTATTCTACTGTGCTAGAAATCACATGTTGATAGGTAAGACCTCGTAAATACTTAGCTCTCACAAGTTTCGTCTCATGAGGGTGGTCATTTGAAAAGACCGTCAGCTCAACAATTTTTGTTTTCAAAGAATAGTTATCATTATTTTTATAGTATTGTGATTAAATATTTCATTCCATTCTTCAAGAAACCAACAAACAATGTCTAATTATGTTCCTCAAGATCTGTTAGTTCGCTCAAAAATCATATAAGTACTGTAACTGGGATAGCGGATTTCTTGTAGCTGCGGGTCGGTCTACCCTGAAACCACGAAAAGATACAGTAACACTCAATAAAACTCAAAATTAATATCCAAGAGTAATACAACCTCTTCTCAGAGATAAAATCCTTTCAATAAGAATAATTCCGGAAATAAATACATTTGACGGTTCTAGGCAACTTTTTTCTTGGAGTAACAAGCCAATGTCACCAAGTCATAGAGCCCACTGACGTCACATATTTTTGACACGTACTGTCTGTTTAAATTCCTATGGCTTCTTTCACTTTCTAAAATGGTCGAATTCATTTTTTTGCAAAAGCGATTATCAAATATAAATGGTTATTTTTCGCCTGTAAAAAAATGTCAGCTTGGGGCTTTTCAAGTCCGAGCTCTTGACAAAATATAATTTTTTCCAAACGGTAACATTATTATCATCAAATAACAATTTCTTTCAATGCAAATTTATTTACTTGGTCGTACCTATTCATTATGGCAAAACTACGATAAAACAAATCGAAAAGTTATTTCGCTAGAATGAGTGTAGGTATTATTACTTTTATCTCATGGTGTCCGGTATCCGGTCTGTAATCATTCAATAAGCACAACAGGAAATTTGATAATTGTGAAGAGGTGAAAAAATATATGTTATATCACATGCATATGTAAGTAACAACGCCCATAACTGAAATTATGTTGAAAAAGTTATTCAATTTATAGTGACCAGGTGACCAGATTTCTAGCCAAAAATTTACTGTTTATTAATTAATGACGACAGCAATAAAAGAGTTAAAATGGGATGGAAAAGATTTATAGTAAAAGTAGCAATACGATAAATACCTAATATTCAATATTCATTCAACATCTATACTTGCA